AAGATTGAAAAGAAAACATGGATTTGATTATAAACATCAATTAAACAACATGAACAAAAATGAAAATCCACCATCCACACTATATACCCGCTGCAAATATTTAAGAGTTTGCATGTAACTCTGTCTAATTCAATAAAAGGATTAAAGTCTTCTTCTTGTAATCAAGTTAGGAAAGTTAAAACAAGGTGATAGGAAATAATAGTAATGAGGTGATAGGAAAATAATATAAATGTGAATCCCTTTTGAGATTAAATCAATATGTTTAATTCATCACAAATATGACAAGTATCTACAGTACACACTTGCAGAGCTAAGGAGATACCCCACACACACCAAACAAGGCAGTTGGGCTATAGAAACTTTAACATCACTAGAAGAAGAAGAAGAAAGCAGGCTTTGTTGCTGTACACATCTCTTGCTAGCAGGCAAGACAACTACTTAAACATACCAGACTAACTGGGATGTGTGCTTTTAAAAAATAATATCTATTTTTCAATATCTTTATTCATTTATTTTTATATGATACTGAGGATAGAACCCAGTGCCTCACATGTGCAAAGCAAGCTCCCTACCACCAAGCCACAGCCACAGCCACAGCCACAGCCACAGCCACAGAATATGTACTTTTTACACCAAGTACAAGTATCTACAAAGGTCCATCTTTGAAGTAAAGGAATTCCCAATGAAATTGTTTGTTTAAAAGTAAATCCCAGGGGGATGGAAGAGGGCAAGGAAGGGAATAGTACCAGGATGGAAATGGGGAAAACTATGTTATATTTATTTATGAATATGTTAAAATGAACCCCACTGTTATATGTAACTACAATGACTAAAAAAAATTTTTTTAATTCAAGTAAGTCAAATTTTTCTATGAACATATATTGGTCTACAGTTGTATTTCTCAAGAATTAACAATAGTCATTTAAATAGTTTTCAAAGGGTAATATAAATGAACAAAATAGTGATTCACACATTACATTCCCGACTCCCATCTCATCCACATTTTCCATTTCTTAAACATCAGTGGTAGAGTGCTCACCTAGCACGTGTGAGGCACTGGGTTCGATCCTCAGCACCACATAAAAATTAATTAATTAATTAATTAATTAAAGGTATTGTGTCAATCTACAACTAAAAAAAATTTAAAAATCAGTTTTAAATATAATCTCCTTAGCAAGGCACTCTATGGCATAGTTAGCATTCATATCTGGAGTTGGATTTTAATTAGCTACTTAGAATTGGCCTAGCCTCAGTATTAACATAGCTAAAAAATAAAAATGATGATGATGACAACAATCTCCAAGAGCTAAAGTGAAGTTTAAATTAGATGAAGTGATGGAGGATAATATTTCAAGCACAAAGTCAGACATACAGAAGGTACTTAAGAAATGCATGTTCCCTTTCTCCTTAACACCCTTACCTATAATGAGAGGGAAGTTTTTCATTTCCCATTAAATGGAGCTTTCTTAAGAAGAAGTGCTAAGGGAGTTCATAACCCAATTGAGTCAAATGTATGAAAGATGATATATCATGAGCTTTGTAATGTTTTGAACAACCAATAAAAAAATAAATAAAAAAAAGAAGAAGTGCTATCCAGACACATTTGGAGAAAAGAAACATCATTTTGGCGAAAAGGAACCACTTAGAAAACCAAATTCATTGTGATTATATCACTATTACTATGCCAAAAAAAGTAGTCACCTTATAAGGCTGATAAGAGAGCCTAGCAATATGCCAAGAAGTCTCAAGGGAAATCTTGAAACACTAAGAAATGCATGAAGCAGTGTATATTTGGAAAGTGACAAATACCTTTCATTTTTTGTTTGTTTGTTTTGTTTTTGTTTTCCCACATAACTGGAAACAGTTTTAGACAAACAGCTAAAAAAAAAAATAGAAAAAGAAAAAACTTTGAATTTTTTTCTTTTCTTTGGCCAACCAATTTACTTTGAATCATTATTTAAATAAAGCAAAATAATGAGTGTTTTCGTGTAATTACCATAAAAACACAATTAATTATAATTTTAAAATTAGAAGTAGAATTTAAACTCTTAAGAATGCTTAGAGACAATGTATACCACGAATTACATCAATCATTGTAACTGTTGAAGACACTATATGTCTTCATCCATTGGAAAAGATAAGAATGTCTTTCAGCTGGCATACATCTGTAATCCCAGCTACTAAGGAGGCTGAGGCAAAAAGATTGAAAGTTTGAGGCTAGCCTGGGCAACACAGAGAGACCCTGTCTCAAAATAAAACATAAGAGGGGCTATAGAAGTAGTTCGGTGGTAGAGTACTCAGGTTCAGTCTTGCAGTACTACCAAAAAAAAAAAAAAATCTCTGTCAATGATGTTACTCTAACTCTGCATATCTGCTGACCTGATTTTTCAGAATGTCCCTTTCAGTCACCTGCTTGTCCTCAGCTTCTCAGATGCACTGTTTATTACAGATTCCCATAATCTTTAAATCTGTGAAACTGCCTTTCACATCCCCCACAGGCAAAAAGCTCATGCCATCCATTTGAACCTTGGAAACAGAAACTGCCAATATTGGAAGGCAGTTTAAAAATCATGTTATTTCCAAATGCTTAATTTTCACATATTACGACATAGAGATTTCACAGGGTGGGGACGGAGGAAACATTAAGAGATCTGCCTAAGAGAGTCACAAGGCAACATGGTGGAGGAAAACTACTGTCTCTTGAAATCTTATTTCAAGTTCTTACCTTCAACTAGGGTTGTAGGGTAGAGGATAGAGTTACACAGAAAGCTCTAGAAACATATGTGGAGAAGATGACCTTGAGATCACATCCTCCCTCAAGCTCACCAGTCACTCAGGTCCATGACTCCTCAGAGTTTGGGAGGATTCAATCATAACAGAAACACAATTAACCCAAGGGGAACCAATGGCATAAACTGTAGATTTAATATAGTATTTCTCCTTCTTTCTTATTTCCACAACATTATCTTCTTAATTCTTCAAACACGACCAGATAGGCAGCCTTATTATGACACACAGATTAAGCGTTAGACTGCTGGGCTAACCCAAGTCACCAAAGCACGTCTAACATAAGACAAAATTTAAGAGACTTCCCAATCCTACTTTGAATCTATTCTGGAATGGTGGCTTCTCTACATCTTAGTTTTAGATTCAAATATGAAAGCTTCTAATTTCTTACGTAGAACCTTTCATATTAAAGATGCATAAAATGACTGAGAAATGATCATAACTCACATGATTGTAAAAAGAGAAAAAACTTCTCATAAGACCTCTTTAGAACTTCCACATGAAAGTCAAACTATTTGAGAATTCCATTTCTTTATTAAAGTCTGACTTAAAGAAAAACTGTCCTGAAGATAAGAATCCAGTATTTTCCAAGTAGAAAAATACCGGTTTACATATAATGACAACAGGTCAGAGAGCTATATAGGTTGTAACAAGTAACAGCTCCCCACCCAGAGCTAAAAAGAAAAAGAGAAATTAAAGTACCTTCTTTTATTTTAGACACAATAACTTAAAGACCTATTTGTTTTGCTTTCTGTGGGGCATTGGTATACACGATTTAAAAAAAAAAAAGAATCTCATCAATAGAAAAAAATCTGTTTCCTCAAAAACTCTTCTAATTTAAATTCTAAAATGCACAACTTGAAATTTAGGTTTATATTTCCAGTGCTTATACCTACCAAGTTGGAAATCAGTTTTTCAAATGACTCTGAACATACCCTCAACCACCAAAGGGCATATTTTTAAAATTTCGGATTTGTAAGTGTTATAACAAGTGTAATCAGTTAAGTTCATTAATGATTTACAGTGACACCAAAGTGGAAAAAAAAATGAAACTTCTGAATGATCTAGTTTTAACTCTTTTTCATTTTACACATTGTTTTATGAGCCCCAAGAGGTTAGGTAAGTATCTTCTGCATTATTTCCTGGCTAGCGCCTCCCACAGCCTCTGTAGTCTGCAGCAGATACAGTTGGGTCTGACTTGCATGGAAAATTCAGCTACGAAATATTTTTATTCAACAGCTAAGACAATCAGTCCCCCCGCACCCCTATCCACAAGGTTTGGATCTAGAAGCAAAGTGAGAACATTTGGGAGCACAAAATTAGTCTGCTTTTATTTTAATAACCAAACGGTGATTGAAAAGAAATATTTTGTATTTGCAGAAATGGGGGACAGGGGTTACTAAATCTAGAAGGTCCCTCCTCCCCACCCTCTGCGCACACCACAAAACTTACAAAATTGTGACCCAGAATTTAAAGCTCGCACTCAATTTCAAAGCATTCATTTAAAAGTACAGAAGCGTCCTTTTTAAATGCCCACATTTTGACACAGCAAGAATGTGGCCGACCAAATATTAACCCTAAGAAGAATGGATGGATACACATTTACCTTCATAACTGACCCCATCAGGTCAAATGTTTAGCAAAGTAAACTGACCTAAACCACAAGGACTGACGGAAAATGATGAACAGGAGTGTCTCTGGGTTTTGAGAACACCGTTAGTTCCCAGCACAGACAGCGGTCAATCCTCCGCAGGTAAAGAAATCTACACGCGCCCGCGGGTAAGGGAGAAACCAAACTTTCCCAAATAAGTTAGTTGGGTCTTGCCAATCTAAATCCAACAGGTGTCAAAACACATCACCACACAAAATCCTTCTGAACAAGTTCTAGAAAAGCACCGGATGGTTAGCAGAGAAACTGAAACGACCCGACCTTCATCAGGATTGGGAAAAAGCCGGGACCCTGTTCCAACTGATCACTTGGTCGTTGGGTGGGAGAGATGAAGATGGGAGAATCCCTGTATGCAGGTGGGGAGACGCTAGGAGATGTCCTGCCACAGACTCTGCAGAGGGATCTTGGAGCACCATCCCTGAGCTCTGTTAAATCCCCCTCTCACCCCCAAGCCACACACACATACATGCTTCCCTAGGGTTAGAACAGCTTGGGAGTGCCGAGGTTACAGACTGGGAGACTGAGAAGGGAGGGTGTATAGTACCTGCTTGTCCAGAGTGTCCCGGGCCCCTCCAGGTCCGGCGCCTGCCCTGGGTGGCGCGGGTGTCCGTTCGCAGCTACAGCCCTCCAGGAGGTACATGCCCGCCGGGCGGCCGCTCTGCTCGCCCTCGAAGTAGAAGAGCACATTTTGGTAAAGAGCAAACCACTTCTCGTGCCAGCGACTCGCCTCCGCCGCCTTCTTGCTCAGGAAGCCGCGCTTCGTGCCCTCCTTGCGCGCAAGGAAGGCCAGGTACAGGGCGTGCCCCTCGTTGTAGCGCACGCTCTTCTGCATGGTGAGAAGGCTAGGGAGGTTCGGTTGGCCTCCCGCTTCACCCCAGCCTCAGGGCCATCGCTCGGCAGTCTCCCCCGAGGGCACGCCTGCTCTGGTGCTGGCTGGCGTAGGGCGCCCCCTTTCCCGACACAGCGCGCAGGGCACCCTGCCCGTCCCCGGGGAGCGGCCGCGCGTGGGTCTAAGAGGCGCAGAGCAGGGTCTGGGACACGTTCTTCGCCCAGATCGCCGCCCTACCCTCGAGACGAAAGTCGCCGAGCCTGGGACGCCTGGGTGGAGAGCGGTCCCCGAGGGCACCGGAACCCGCCGCCGCTTCGCCCAAAGTTGCGGGCGCCGAGCCCCCGCGGCGGGCTGGGCGGTGCGATGCGCGGCAGCAGAGAAGGACTGTCCTCGGGCAACGCGCTCCGGGAGACAGAAGGTAAAACGTCACGTGGGAGATCAGCTGTAATCGGCTTGGAGACCGATTTAAAGGGCAAAGTCGGCGCAGTGGCGTGGCGGCGGCGGTGGCACAGCGCGCTCACCCCAGTGTGGGCTTTTCCCTTTCCTGCCCTGGCCCAGGCCTGTGCCCCAGCGCCGCCCGGATGGGGCAGAAAGCTGCAAGGTCGAGGAGCCAGGAGGCACCACACACCCGCTCACAGGCACAAGGCGTGAGCGCACACACACACAAAAACAAATACACTTACATACACACAGACAAATGCATACTCACAAAATGCACACTTAGACCAATACATTCACACAAACACAATGCGCACATACACACAAATACACACATACAAATGAACATTCATGCACAGACACATACATACGCACACTCACAGTATACATTTGCACAAATACACATTTACACAATGGTCACACTAATACAAACAAGAATACACACAAAATACACATATAGAAAATGTCACCCACAGTGTGCACTTCTTTTTACAAAAGTACAAATACACACTGTTATGCAGGTAACAACACACATGCTTGCATTGAGATGCTGGCTCAAACACAAACTCACACACAACATATACTCATATACACATTTGCAGTCATACACATTAACATAAACAACACAGACATATAAACCTATTCACAAACAATACAAACACCTTGTTATACACAGACTCACACAAGCAATCATAAACACATATACAATGAATACACATACACACATTCACATACAAACACATGTACAACACATCCACCCCAAAATTCTTATACACACACATAACAGATAAATACAAATTCACACAAATCCATAAATTTACACAGACCCACTAGTACACCACATGCCCACACTCACTCCCACAGGTATGTTCCCATGGCAGTAGGAGTCCCAATGTGGCTTTTTATAAATGGCAACTTGGGCTTTTCTGCTTGTAGCTGCACTTTAGTGTTTTAAATGAACAGGGAAAGTTAATGAGAGCAGCCCCGTGTTCCCAAAAGTCATCAGATATATTTCTTCCTCTTGGACACAGCAATCGTGTTTTTTACAGGATTAAAATAAAAGAAATTAAATTTTCAGTGCAGAGTTTTCAAACAGGAAAAAATACCACCAAGGGAGACATTACTGACTGGCCGGGGCAGAATCCATCCCCAGAAGCCAAGCTATCAGGCTCACTGGATACTAGGACAGGAATTCATTTGATTAACAAATTTCAGAGCTATAGCTACAGAACCAAGGACACCCCACCCCCACCCCTATAATATATAAGTGGAAAAAGAAATGATGTGCCCACAGCTTTGAGAGAAAGCTAGTGCAACCCCAAGGAGGGCCTGGTGTTTGATTCTGCTACACAATTTTTATTTCCCTTAGTCACTTACCATTAAAACAGTTTGCCATAACGTGTTTATTTTTAAAGTAAACTATAATAAAATGCTTTTCTGGGCAGTGACTCTGTGTCAATACACCTGTCTTGTCCCTCTAGTTATGTTTTCACAAATTGGTAGCCGCGGGGTTCTGCCTGTTCTGTAGAGGCTGCCTTTGCAGAATATTTTAACTCTGCCTCACTGAGCAGCTGAGTGGTTTTTGCATCTTACTGTCAAGAAAAACTTTCACTATTAAAAACTGCATAATAGAAAAATTGCCATTTTGAAGTGACTCTGTGAGAACAGTGGTCATTCTTTTTACATATTTTTACATATCTAAAGGACAGAGCTGTGCTGGCTTGGGTTTACCCCAGCTGGGATCTGACATTGATTGTTCTGTGGAAGAAAGACAAGTTACAGAGACTGCACAATGTTTTGGGCCAATTGCAAGGGAGATGGTGATGGGCTCAGGGGGCCTTTTTTTTTTTTTTTTTCCTTCTCTTGGGTGCATTCCAGTTCCGAGAACCAACCATAAGAAAGTAGGCACCTGCGAAGAAGAGCATGAGAAGAAGATTAACATTAAACAGGGATGAGAGGTGGGAGGGAAAGGGAGAGAGAAGGGAAATTGCATGGTAATGGAAGGAGACCCTCAGGGTTATACAAAATTACATACAAGAGGAAGTGAGGGGAAAGGGGAAAATAATACAAGGGGGACAAATGAATGACAGTAGAGGGGGTAGAGAGAGAAGAGGGGAGGGGAGGGGAGGGGAGGGGGGATAGTAGAGGATAGGAAAGGCAGCAGAACACAACAGACACTAGTATGGCAATATGTAAATCAATGGATGTGTAACTGATGTGACTCTGCAATCTGTATACGGGGTAAAAATGGGAGTTCATAACCCACTTGAATCAAAGTGTGAAATATGATATATCAAGAACTATGTAATGTTTTGAACAACCAACAATAAAAATTAAAAAAAAAAGAAAGTAGGCACCTGTGTGGTTGAATTAAATTAAATTAAATTTTAATTAGTACTTAAATTAATTTAATATTTGGTCATTAAATTGTTGAAGAGGGTACAAACATTTGCAAATTTACATCGTTCTGCAAGGTGGTAAGAGATTAAAACAACCAGAAATTTGTGGAAAATCTGGACAAATGATATCCAGTGTCTGGAGGGCCTCTGTCCTTCTTTCATATGGAAACTGCATCCTTGGAGTGGGGCCATCCTGAAACACAAAGGGCATGTGGTTATGGAAATGAGATTTCCCTCAGCTAATCAAGCTGGTAGATAAAAGGTACAGTGTTCCAAGTAGGTGGGAACAAGCTCCTCTGTGAAGTCATTGTTTGTTTTCTGAGAGGACCAGTTTAAGAGCATTTTTCAGGGCAACAAAGCATTTCTCACTGACAACAGTGAAGGTATCCTCTCTATCCTTTTCTAGTTCATAGCAGCACAATTCACAATAGCTAGAATGTGGAACCAACCTAGATGCCCTTCAATAGATGAATGGATAAAAAAAATGTGGCATTTATACACAATGGAGTATTACTCTGCACTAAAAAATGACAAAATCATGGAATTTGCAGGGAAATGGATGGCACTAGAGCAGATTATGCTAAGTGAAGCTAGCCAGTCCCTAAAAAACAAATGCCAAATGTCATCTTTGATATAAGGAGAGCAACTAAGAACAGAATAGGGAGGAAGAGCATGAGAAGAAGATCACCATTAAACAGGGACGAGAGGGGGGAGGGAAAGAGAGAGAGAGAAGGGAAATTGCATGGTAAAGGAAGGAGACCCTCATTGTTATACAAAATTACATATAAGAGGAAGTGAGGGGAAAGGGGGAAAAAAACAAGAGAGAGAAATGAATTACAGTAGATGGGGTCCAGAGAGAAGATGGGAGGGGAGGGGAGGGGAGGGGAGGGGAGGGGGGATAGTAGAGGATAGGAAGGGCAGCAGAATACAACAGACACTAGTATGGCAGTATGTAAAAATGTGGATGTGTAAGCGATGTGAATCTGCAATATGTATACGGGGTAAAAATGGGAGTTCATAATCTGCTTGAATCAAATGTATGAAATATGATATGTCAAGAGCTTTGTGATGTTTTGAACAACTAATAATAAAAAAAATTAAAAATTAAAAAAATAAAGGGGGAAAATAGCAATGAGTTGCCATGTCTAGAAATCCTAATTACTACTTGTAGATTAAGGTAGAATTCGGATAATTTGACAGAAAATAAAAGTTTAAAAAAGAAGAAGAAGAAGAAAAGGAAGGAGAAAAAGACAGTGAGAAAGGGGAAAGGAGAGGAAGAAAGGAAGGAAGGAGAAATTGTATCTGAATTGTCCAAAGCTTCTCAGGTTGCTGGGTGAAAAGTGTACAACCTAATCCACAGCTTTTCAAAATCCCAAACTCAAGCCTTATCTTTCAGACACAGAAGGTAGGTTTAATTTTTAAAATTTTTTAAATTATTATTATTATTATTATTATTTTTGCTTTTCCTAAACTGTTTTATTTGTAGAACTTTGGGCTGTAAGAGTTTTTGCAGTGACCTTTCCCTATGGTTTCTGTAAATCATAAATGCTTCAGCACTGGGTTCCTGGAGAAATATGTTTTACAGGCAAAGAGAAATTTCCCTTCTGCCTTCTGAAGTTTTACTGGAATAAACAAAGAAAAATTGGAGAAAAAATACAAATTTATTTCGTGCACATAGGCAATGACATAGTGTAATTAACCACTAGCCCAAAATATTTCAGAAGCTTATGTGCCCCCTTTGTCTATAGGATAGGGTGAGAATGAGAAATGTAGACAATTTTGAAGGGTCTAAATTTGCTAGGAGAATGAATGGTTCCAGAAACAATCTTCAAAATTTGAATATGCCCAGGGACAGACAGTCTTTTTTTCTTTTTCTTTCTTTTTTATTTTATTTATTTATTTAGCTATAGATGGACACCATACCTTTATTTTATTTATTTATTCTTTTGTGGTGCTGAGGATTGAACCCAGTGCCTCACACATGCCAAGCAAGCGCTCTATCACTGAGCTACAACCCCAGCCCCCAGATGCTGTCTTATAAAGGAATTCTATCCAGGTGTGGTTACATTCCTCAGGCTTCTCTTCAGAGACAGGTACAGATGGAAGGCAGTTGTGTTCCTCTTGCAGTCAGATGTTAATGCATGTACAGAAATTCCAAAGCAAGCTCTCCTGCTTTTTTTTGTTTGTTTGTTTGTTGTTGTTGTTCCTGGGATTGAACCCAGGAGTGCTTAAACACTAAGCCATATCGCCACACCTTTTTATTTTTTTATTTTGAAATAGGGTCACTTTAAGTTGCTTAAGGACCTGCTAAATTGCTGAAGCTGGCTTTGAACTTGGATTCTACTGCCTCAGCCTTCTGGGATTACAGACCTGAGCCTGTTTTTAAGACCTTTTCAGGTTTTTGGAGGTATCATTTGCTACACCCCAACAATATTAAGCAAAGGCAAAGTATTACCAAGATCCTTTTCTTGGCCTGAAAGGTCATTTAGGGAATTGTCATTTTGATGGCTTTTAAATGTGGAAACCAGGGTATTTAGTAATGCAGGATCACTAAGGATCCCAGGCAGGTTCTAAAGGATACATGTTACCTTCTTCTGCACAGATCCACGCTTTTGGCGGGGGGGGGGGGGGGGGCAGGTGGGTACTGGGATTGCACTCAGGGG